TTTGGGCCACTGAAATGAAATGTTAAGGTGCTACGAACTCCCATTGACCGAGTGCACCAAATGGACGCATCTTGCCAAAAGCAGCCGCATGCCACGCATAACAATTTTTGTTTGACTTGGAATTGTTATTGTTTAAAAGTTAATTGGACAGCGGTTTTATAGTGTTGGCCCGTTGCCCAACAGCAGCAGCAGCAACACACAAAACTTAATTAAACTAAAGCCAAATTGCATTTGCGTCCAACTTGCCGCGTAACTCAATTTATTTTCATTTGTGTTGCGTCGCATTGTCTATTTCCTCTATCGCAATCAAATTCTGTGGCAAATGCCGCATGGCGATCGGCGCTTGCATAAAGCGATGCGCATTAGCCATAACACTGCATAATTAAGCTTGTTATTAATTTTTTAAAATGATGATTTGATTTAAGCTCCGCTCCCCGCCGACCGCTTTGGCTGTCTGTGAGAAAACTCGTGCAATTTATTGATACTGTTGATCAATTTTTCAATTAACCGCCAAAATGTTCAATATTATAATGACCATCATTAATCTTTGTTAAATATAGCCTTTCTATGCAATTTTTATGGCCTGAATTTAGGCTTGACTGAGCTAGTGAATAACCCAATAACAATTGCGTAAGCTCATGAGAATATCACTGGGATTGCAAGTAAGAAGTAAGGAGGAGCTTTTGAAATATATATAAAATATATACGATATGTTCGCACTTCAGCCAGCTGTCGAGTTTGAACCAAATTTCTATGTTTGTTTTAATTTATTTTTCAAGAACTTAAACAAATATATGCTCAGATATCGGTGGATGACCATTATCAGCACTTATATACATTTTATAAATGTCGCTTCAGCAGTTGTTTTATCAATTTGAAATCCCATCAGTATTGTCAGCATTTAATTGCAATTTTCATGATTTTTAGCTCGGTTTCATATTATTGTTATTATTATTTATTTTTTCTTTTTTGCTAAACGCCCCCTTTTGCACGCACAATTGTTGCAATCAGAGAATTTCTCAGTTGATTGAGTGTGTGGGTTTTCGAGTGCAATTTATCAATGAGACGACTTGAAGCGGTTCCCAAGTCAAGCAAGAATTGTGACAATGAATTTGCGTAGCGGCTGCTTGCAAAACAGAATAAGAAAGCCATATAAGTCGTGTTGTGGCCAAGCAAAGTCTACGTCTACTAGTGCCCGTACTCGTACTCGTAGTCGTAGTCATACGGTACCATGTGCCATTTATCAAAGCACGCCATTCATTTGGTAAAGAACGCACTTGGGGGGAAAATTGCAGAGCAAAGCAAATCGCAGACCGCCCCACATGTTGGCCGAAGGTTCAACAACCCGCGAGACTGAGTAAACGCCTCGTTTAAAAAATAAAAAAATCTCTGGCAATAATATTTTTAATGTAAAACAGAGACGCATAGCTCGTTGAATATTTGCTAGATGAGATCACATTGAAACTGATGTTGTTGTGTGTTGGGCTGAAATTGGGTTGGGTTGGGTTGAGTTTGGTTGAGTTGAGTTTGGAAATTGTTGGAAATGAAATTGGAATTGGAATTGGAAGGGAGCAGCACATTAATAATAATTACGCGACCGGCGGCTTGACATCTGTTTGAAGTTTATGCTGGCATTCCAGCACAGTAGCTGCTGCCACTTACTCTAAATGCCCGCCCATGGATCACTTTCCGCTGCTGATGGAGTTATTACAATGGCCCTATAAATAGACACTCCACAGCTCCAATGACGATCGGCACGCAACCAACAGCCAAACAGCCACGGAGTCCAACAGTCAGAATGCCACAAGACACCAGTCAACTTTTGTTTTCGTTTCTTCTCTTATTATTTTGACCCTATTACTACTCATATCAGAGCTGAGATGAGCTGTAATTCTTCATGCATTCCATGACTCAGTGACGGGGTGGTATGCGGTTTTCATCATAAGTTGATGACTCCATGACAGCTATCATCTGCAAAGTACAATAATACAACTTGTGATCATTTTGTGATCTGCTAAACTTGACGCTTTTATGGACGCGTCATAACTTGGTTTAAACTGAACCGACTTTCAAAAACCAAGTCGTTTTCAACCTGGAACGGACTAGCCCTTCTTTAATACTGCATTTAAAGATTCTTGTCTTCATGGATCGAAAACTTTCCGGAGCCATAACTTTGTCAACAATTATAATAGCTTGACTCCTTGGTAAATAGTATATTTAAAGTTAGAGCTCGAAATTCATCGTATCTATCTTAAAGACGCTTGAGATCTATGTATTTTCTGGTACTTAACTAAGCTATCTGAAATCAAAATAAATATATTCAAATATTAAACCAATCTGATGGCAGTTGTGAACATTTTCTCCTCATAAATGACGCCTCTATTTCCATATCAGAGTTTAATTTATGATGACAAACGCAAAATGCACTCCAGATTGCACTTAAAGTTAAATTCACTGACACTACACAAATATGAGGGGCACTTTCAAGCTGCCACACCACCACTTCCATAGCCATGCTCCCCTTGACAGGCCTGAGCACTACGCCACTGTTGCACACCCTTACGATTTGCTTTGTCTTTAACAAATGTGAAGCAATTGAAGTTTTGGTTGTTCGTTTGTTCAACAAGAACTGAAAACGACGACAAACGACTCGATGAATGTCTGCACAATTCGTTGTGCCTCACACCTCCTTCAGCCCATGGCCTCTTTTGTGGCTTGTAGCTGTCGCCTTGGGTTTGTCATTTGCCAATTGGCATTTATGTGTTTGTAAATTGATATTTCCGTAGGGTGCAGTCTGAGCTGCTATCGAATGCGATGCATTCTAAAAACAATTTAACTAATTTGCTTTCTCTTTATTTCTTCTCATTGCAGGTACGTATATATATATATATATATATTTAAATTCATATATAAGACTCGTCTCACAAGTCAACTCAGCGCGTAAGTTTGTACACTTAAATCACTTTATAAAAAACGCCAAAAAAGATGCCGCTGCTGTCTTTAATAATTTAAAGCAATTAATTAGAGCTGTTAAGTGGCCAAAAACAATTTGCAGCTCGTTAAAAGCAGCGGCATCAATGGGTTAAGTGCCCCGATGCTTCAATCTTGCCTCTCACTCGACTCTGCTACGTGCTTAATTGAAAGTTCAATGGATTTGAAGAACAGCAGCGGCTGTTCCCAAGAAGTAGCCAGCCAGCCAGCCAGCCAGTCAGCCAGCCAGCAGTTCCCTTCAATTTTGAGACTTTTCTCATCTCTCATCTCAACTCTGAAGTGCATTTGGTTTTTTTATATTTCAAATGAATAACGTTTTGGAATTCGGGCAGCAGCTGCAAACTGTACATTATGCATATATCGCACGCTGTGAACTTTATTTCCCTTTACAAATCAGCTGAGATTCGCAAAAAGGGCCAGTTTGTGGGACACAAACACACAAAAAAATAATAAAAATAAAAATGTAAAAATGTAATGAGTTTAATTAGTCAGCGACGCACCCTTGCCGTCGTCTGTCATTTGTCGTCTGTCGTTTGTCGTCTAGACAAGTCAAGTTATTGTTCACTGTCCCTGTCTCGTCGACTTTGGTAACTCATGCATATGATTTTGGCTGACCACGTTGAGAACGTGTCTGCTATTTATGCGACACTCATCAATCAGACCTCTCTGCCTCCTGCCTGGACCTGCTGGCTGTATTTTTAACGACTGTTGTCTGGACTGCCGATGATGATGAGCAGATAATGTTTAGCAATTTGCACAACCTATTTGGATTTAAGTTCACAAATTAAGTTACTAAATCAAAAATGTTTAATGCGCAGTTAATGCCGGGGCTTATTTGGTTAACTAAAGCTAAGATGCACTTAGGAATTTGATGGCTGTGTTATTACCTGAGTTGCAGGTAGCTTAAATTGGATTAACATAAGCAGTCTTGGCTTAAGTCTTGTTTTTGGTTCAGCTAATCTTAGTCGCTAGCTAAGCTGCTACTTAGTTTAAGCTGACGCCAGCTTAGCAAGCTGTTAAATACCAGATTATTTAGGTCACAAGACCAATGTTATCTTAAGTCTCTATTCCCCTGTGCTACACTTCTCTCTCTTCTCTCTTGAAAGTTATATAATTACACATTTAAAGCTCGAGTCATCGTCTAAATATGTTAACGATTTCGTTACGCTTTGATTTTTGTGTTAAGAATCTATTTACGACAAATAACATGAATTATATTCACATCTGGAGGCAAATCTTGTGCTAGTTTTATTTAAACACCAACTTCAAATTAACTAACGATTTGCCAGTTTTTTGACATGTGCCACAGGCGCCGTATTTCTAATAATCTTTTGTTAATTATTATTCTTATTCTCCCCTTTTGAGTTTTAAAGTTTTGTAGTTTTCTTAGAGCTTGTAAACACTGCTTATATCTGTTTTTGTTTACTTTGTCCATAATTGTGGTATCTGCGAGCATAAATGATTAGAAAACGCAATCTTATCAACTTTTAATAAGCTGATTGATTCTTTAACGCCTCCTCTTACAGTAAACACTCGTCAGCTTTATTTATAGTTTGACTAACCTTGTCACAGGTGTAAATTCATAATATATAATATATGACTTACACAGTAATTCTAAATAATTGGCAAGCTTTACTAGTCGTACAGCAACTAATCAGTTATGCAGAGCTGGTAGCAGATGTCAGCCAGGTGTTCGCAGCGATTTGCATTTTATGGGCTAGCTGACCCCAGACAGAAATGTGCCAACTGTCAAATGCATTTGCCAGGCTATAAAATTGAGAAGTGCCAGTGTCAGTGGCAGTGATTTGAACACGTGCGAAGCACTCTGGTTTATAGACTTCGGGAAATGCCGAAATTAAAATGCAATCAAGGAATTTCCCAGGTCACCCACCGTAATTACTCAACTTGCATTTAGCGCTAAGGGATTTTGCCTTACGTTGGGGGGTGTGGCTAGGACGCGCCTACCTGTCCTGCCTACCTGTGTGGGTTGGTTGGGTTGGTGCAAAGGGATCACAGTTCAGAGGCTGACTGCCTGACCTGCTTGACTCTGCTATATAAACCCCGTTTGAGACTGCTTGTCGACAACAGTTGCACAGCAGCGGCCAAAGCCAGCACATCTATTCAGCATCTTCAAGATTATCGCCAAGCAAAGATGGCCACCTACACTTGCACACAGTACGTGAACTTTGCCGATCCGGCCAGCATTGGCAAGATGAGCACCACTTATACACTGGATGCGGCACATTTTGGTCAGCATGATTTGGGTCTGTTCATTGAGAGTCTGGAGACCATCGAGCGCATCGAACGGCAGCGTCACGAGCGACGTCAGCGTCGACGGGAGCAGAAGCTGCGAGAGGCACGCATTGCGGAGCTGGAAAGCGATCGTTGTGTCAGTCCCACGCCCAGCGCCGAGGAGGCTGTCGACGAGCCGCTCACGTACTTGGAGGCCAAGTGCATACCCTATGCCATAAGTGAAGCACTGCCCATTATTGCCGAGACGGGCTCACCCACCTATGATGTTTGTGATGATGAGGCCTACGGCAGCGCTAATCAGACGCCCCGCAGCAGTGTCACCTATTGCAGTTGTGCTGGTGGCCTGGACTCGGATTCCACTGAATCGGGCATTTATGGTGGGTCCACTCCGCCAGTGCCGTTGCGTCCACGCTCGCAGGTCATTAGCAAGCCGAAGAATCGAACCACTCGCTCCCGCATCATCAGCATGGTGCTGAAGCGGGACTACGCCAAGGCGCCCTCCACGGAGAGCTTGGGCCACAAGATGCACTGTGGTCGGCATCAGTTGAATCAAATGTCATCCAAAGCGCGACGCGGCATTGCAAGCAGTCAGAGCTCGGTCGAGGAGTGTTTCCTCGACAAAGCGCTGCGCTTTATGACTTTGTGATTTGGGCACACCAAGTTGCCCTCAGCTTTAATATTTAGTTTTTAAGTCAAACACAGTACAATAATATAAACCAAGCTCATTTTTTGTTTGTAAAACATATTGATATTAAAAAACTATTACAAGAAAACCCATTGCTGATTGTATATAGTGATTAGATTAGCGCTTGGTAATTGCTAATAGAACGACCTTCGTTACACTGGCTCTAAAAAGTGTTCTTATCGATAGACGTAAATAATAAACTTTATTTCTACGATGACTTCAACTTCTTAAATTGTAAAATTTTCAATTTAATTACACACTTTTAATTGTTTGCAACTTAGTAATAATATTAATTACTATTTTATTATTTGTATACGCTGCTCATACATTATATATTTAACAGAAATCAACTGTAATATATTGTAAGCATATCCGACTTGAGACGTTTTGTATTATATTTTACACGTGTTATTCTCACTCCACTCGTCTGTTGTCTTATTGTCAGCTTACCTCTCCCATATCTCTCTGTCGCACTCTGTTTCTCTCACGCTATCTTCCACGTTGATATAATGATTTTATTTTGCTGCACACAAACTCTTCGGACTCTCCCCATTTAGAGGCAGTGTTAGAAGACCCAGTGACACGGTTGTCAACTGCCAAGCTGGCTGCATCATCTCAATAATCTGCTCCAATTTAGCAGGCTGTCAACGTGTCTGTCTGTCTGTCTGCCTCCTGTTTTTCTTGCTGCATATGCACTGCTTAAGTTTAACGAGTGTCGGCTTTGCTGTTCCGGTTGTGGCTCGGGGGCAATATGATCTAAAAATAAGCATCCTAAATGACAGCCTGCTCGGTTAGGCAGCTGTCATTCAGACAAACACCTAATATATATAGTGTTCAAGTGTGTGTGTGTGATTGCTTTGTTGTCGCTGAATTTACCGCCTGTTGCTGCTGCTGCTGCTGTGGTTTTGTTTATCAACCTTGCACACAGGGTGGCTCAGTTCACAGGGCATTTCATTTGGCTTGGCGCCTGCCTGCATCCTTGTTGCCATAAAAAAAAAGAAACAAATAACAAAAGCTCGCCGCTGTTGCGCTGTCTGTATTGGTTTTGGCCATGCGCCGAAGCTGCTATAAAAGCGGCTACAACAGCTTTTGGCGTTAGCCTTTCGACTCGCCTGCTTTAGTATCTATCACAAATTCAAAAGCGTAGCACACATTTCTGCGCCGGAAATGGCTAACGGCGCGTAGTGTCTGCGCTCGTGTGTGTCTCTGTGTGTGCGTGTGTGTGTGTGTGTGTGTGCAAGTGCGCGTGAGCTGCTGTGTGCGTATATATATATATATACATATATATATATAAATATATGTGTGTGTTGCTGTTTAGCGTTGCATGTCGCGCGCGCCATGTTTGCTCAAGTAAAAGCCAAATTTGATTAATTCATTTAGCCTAAGCGAGATACACACACACTCACACACTCACACACACACACACACACACATACGACGAAGTCTTAAAAGTGCCCCCTCCCAAAAAGAAACGCATTTGGCAAAGTCTTGCAAATAGTACCCAAGACTCTATACCACTTCCCCCTCGAATACTTAGTGCCCTGTTCCCTTGACAATAAAATATGAATTGATGCGCGCGCTGCGCCATAGTACCGTTATAGATACGTGTGTGTGTGTGTGTTAGTCCGTGTGTGTTTGTGTGTGTGTGTGTGTATTGGTGTTTTGCTGCGTGCGTTTTTTTTTTGGTTTATTCCCTATGCTTTTTTTGTGTGCTAGTCAAATTTTGTAAGGTCAAATCGCTGCCGTTTTTGGGGCGCGTTCAACCAAAATCTAATCAAAAATATGCAAAAGCTATAAAAATACATTTTGAACCTTTCCCAGCACAAAAAAAGAGAGTTTTGCTTCCTGTTTTTTTGGGGTGTGCCTATTTTATGGCTTGCAGTTTTTTGCCAATGTGTGTCTGTGTGTGTGTGTGTGTGTAAATGAATTTGCTTCCCTGTGTGTATGTGTGTGTGTGTGTGTGTGACACTTTTATTGACTTTCTTTTTGTACATGGCTGAATGTGTGCGTGCTAATTGAGTTTTGTAATGTATATGGAAATGCATACAAATATATATCTGGACATATATAGATACAGTAGTCACTCAGCAGTAAGAAACAAGCTTTTTTAAAATAGCAATTGTAAACTTACAATTTGCGAGCAACAACTGTATCTAAATGTACAAATATATGTATGTATGTGTATGTGTGTGTGTGTGTGTGTGTTTATTTTTGTTTATTGACAAATATCTCACACACGCACACCTTGCATATTCGTTCAAAATTCAAAAATTAAAAAACGCAAGGAAACCAAGAAACCCATATAAATACTCTATATACCATTGTACAGTAAGAACAATATGCTGCAATACGATCAGGTAAATGAGTGCGATAATTTATTTAATATACTATATCATATAACACCACACACAATGTTGACGTCAAATCGAATGCCGGCATTAGAATATGACCCACATAAGCTTTAGCGACATCCAACTGTTTCCGCCTGCTGTGCTGCACCAGTGCACCGCTGCACCACTGCACCACTGCACCACTTTCCATGGCTGGCTGGCAAGTGGCAACAGCAGCAGAGCAGTTGTCACGCCAACAACGACAACAACTGACGACATGAGCGACTTGACAGCAATAGCAATGCCTTTCTTTCCCCAACACCACCACCAACCAACTCCTGCCCGTTCTTCTGCCATTCTCCGGTAGCACCTCCACTTTCAGCGCTGAAGTGCCATTGCATACGTGTATGACGACTGTGATTAACTTTTGTCTGTCTTTTGTTTTTTTCCGTCCATCTCAGGTCTTTTCACACTCGTGCTCGCTCCCTCCCTTCCACTCTCTCTCTCTCTTTATCTCTGTCTCTTATGTTGTGTGCTTTTGTCTTTTACACTGTGCTACATCCCATGCAAAATGTTGGTAGCCTAAGCATTGTTTACACTTGGGATGCTAGCTCAAGTTTTTACTATGCACTTGAAATCTTTTATTAAGCACTTGCCTTGACAAATGTACATATTTATAAGAGTGAGTGTGTGTCTGTGTGTGTTGGTGTGTGTGTGTGTCTGTGTGTGTTGTCTAGGAAATGTTGAGCTTGAGCCTTGGATGATGCCGAATGTGCCTATCCCAAATAAAACTTATTAGCCCAGGCAATCTGTCATTAGCTGCAAGGCTAAAGCTATATTTATTTATCAAATTATTCGACAATATAATGTGTTAATTTTAGTTTTAAATTTTTTATATATTCTTCTATTCCATATTTTAAATTCATTCTCAATTCCTTTGTTAATATGTTAAAGGAACATCGATTTGCTTTCCACTTATTTTCCATGCCAAGGCCTAAAACTTTGTCAAAACAAATATGTAACAATTTACCAAATAGTTAATCCGCCAAAAATCTTTTGGGTGTCGAAAAAAAGAAGAAAAGGTTTCAACTGCATAATCTGTTTATAACTTTTACGGTTGACATAAATCTGGATCTGCCCCAGACCTCAACAAATGAGCTATTTACCTTCAGACTTAAGCGCTTGTCAGATTTTAGCCACCACCTCCCACATATCCTAGAAGTGTCGGAACAAAAAAGTTTTGTTCTTGCTGCGCCGCTGATGACTCCATATAGTCCAGTCCAGTGTCGGTTATAATGCCACAAAGTTTTTTGTGGGCCGCACGGACACAATCGACAGGAAACCAAACAAAAGCAAAAGTTTGACTTGAGCCATTGAAAACTTTCCGCTCTGCTGAATCATCGCAGATTCGACCCCCTCGGCACACACTGAGTAGTGTCCTTTAAAAAACGAAAATTGAATCATTCAAGTGTCGCTTCCTATGCACACGCAATAAATCATCCAGCTTCGGTGGGGAATAGACCAAATCCAATCTCAGCTGTATTATGGCACCGCAAGTAGCCACAGTGCAAAACCTGTTGATATCCATCGGACTGGCTCAAATAAGCTAAAGTCTGCAAAAGAAAAAAAAAAAGAGAATTAAAACATAAATTTGAGATTGAAATTAAATAAATATTTTAACTACAACTTTCATTTATTTTTAGGAGCAAAATAGTTATTAAGTTTGTGATAAATAAAAAAAACTACACATCTTTTTTTGAATATTGTGAATCTCTTAAAGGATGCCGCAAACTATGTGTAGAGCTAAAAAATTGAAAATGAATAAATATTTTAACAAGTTTTTTATTTTATTTTTCATTGTAATTGAACTACCTAAAAGAACACTGCAAAAAGAACTCTTCCATTTGAATATGTGGCAGCTCGATCTGCCTGAGATCTGTGCACCATTTAGGCATATTTCTTCAGACATATGAAACTAATTCAATTCAATACGAGTGGCTTTTTAGTCGCATTGTTAGCTCAAATGTTGTGCTTCCCTTGAGTAGCCTACAATTTCTGGAGTGCTGAACATCTATTTACAGTAAAGATAAACCCGCATCAATATTAATCTTCTCCATTGCCTACCAACACTCTCTAATCTATCTCTCTCTTCTCTCTCTCTCTCTCTCGTTCTCTTATTGCAGCCACCTGAGAATGAGCTACAGAAATCGCACGAACATAATCCGGCCGCCCTAAGCGAACATCAGTTGCGGGTGCAGGCGTCGCTGCAACGCTTGAATATACCTGACTGGTTCCGACAATACAATCAAAATGCCGCCCGGTCGCCAGATGGCGCCGTTGCCGGCAACGCTGGCGCAACAGCGTCCTCTGGCGGCTACAAGCCGGGCAATTTTACGCGCAAGCGCACACAGGATTCTGGTCGCTGGCAGGGCCTTAACTCGAAGACGACTTCGCTCAGTTCGCTGGGATCACAGCGCTCTGATCGTAGTCCCCTGCTGTTGAGTCCCTCGGCGCACAGCCATCATGGCGGTCAGAGTAGCGGCGTCAGCGCCTCCACGTCGGCGGGTCATCAAGCGCCGCACGGCCATGGCCATGGTCAGGTGGGCGCCACACGCTGGTCCACCTCGCATCTGAACTCGACGCAGACATCGCCGAGTGTGTCGCAGCGGGGCAGCTTTGCCCGTGGTGCACCCATCAACAGCAGCTTCATGTCGGTGGCCAGCGGCAGCAGCGCCGGCGGTGTCCTGAGGAACTCATATCGTCAGCCATATTTGGGCTGGCGCAGCACAGAGAAGCTGTCACAGCGCACGCCACACGAACGGTGAGTGCAAGTTGGTACAGTGAAAACTCTCTTCGGCGGACAGTGCAAAGAAGTCAAGGCAATCCCCAATTTAACTTGAGTCATTTCGACTTAGATATTGTGCTTAAATTTAATGAGAGTGGATCTTGTTTCACATACCTTAAAATATATAATAAAATTGGGTCCAAGAAAGAGTCTAAATGGTTGCATTTGTCCGCCAAGTTGGAGAGTTTTCACAGTATCCATTATAACTAAAATTAATTCATATCTCATTTGATTATTTTAGACTGGCCAACTCGCTGCTGGCGCAACGCACCTCGCCCACAACGGCAACTGCGACGAATGGAGTGCGTGCGATGCAGCCGGTTACGCCGGAAATACAAAGTTCCATCAAGGAGGTCACCTCGGCCATAGTGCATTATGTGAACGATCAGACGCAGGCGCAGCACTTGCAACAGCAACAGCAGCAGCGCAGCCGATCAGCGAGTCCCAATTCGAGGTAGGCAGCGGATCCATCAGCCATCAACTCATCCGTCGTTGCAGTTTAAACAGACAGACAGACAGACAGACAGACAGAGAATATACAGAATTGACACCATTGAGTGTTCAAGTTGTCGTAGTAGTCGCCTACTTTCCTCCATCTGTGTGTAGTTGTTATTACCATATCTATATCTATATCTCTATCTATATATATATATCATTTGATCTACTTGAATACCCGCTCCCATCTCTTTATCCCATCACATTTCGTACTGAAATCTTTCATTTCTCTTCGACAACTACACAACGCGTAGCTATCTGTAAAGTCCAACACCCAGCACCAACTGCAGCCGTCAGTCAGTCAGTTAGTCAGTCAGTCAGTTTGGCAGATTGTCAGTTTGTCAGGCTGCCTGCTGCCTGCTGCCTAACTGCCACGCCCTCAGCGATGTCCAGAGGTAAGCACGCCCCTACCCCATAATTGGGCTTTGTCATCCGCTTCAACGTCTTGGCGTCTTCCATGTGGCTAACCATGTGACTAACCCAATCCTCGTGCAATCTACATGTCTTACATGTTACTCACACCAAATATCTGATATCTGTGCTGGTTTCTACTAAACACACTAAACACAAACAACAAATGAACTAAAAACAACTTTCACCTCAAAAACTTTGCTTGGCCTGTTGCCAATTGATGGGCATAAATGGGGCAGGTCAATCAGTGTGCTTGGCAAAAAGGGATGAAATTCTCCGTGTGATTATGAAGTTGATGCTCTTCAGGATACTAAAATCAAAGCTGAGAAAAATTCCTTAAAATGCTTTCTTTTTTTTTGGTTTTAGAAATGTCTATTAAATGTAATCTAGTAATCAACTTTTACCTTTTCTAATCGAAATTGAACACAATATAATTCTTGATATATATATATATATTTTAATTCCCCACACAATCGTTATTGATATTAAGGCAGCTTTGTGGCAAGCTGAATGAGTTGCTTCATCAAATCGAAATCGTATGAGTTTTCTTTCATAAATATTCGCACAATGGCCACCTATTCAAATCGAAATTGATTTCATTTTGCTTTCACGCTCAATCTGCCAGTCGATTCGAGATGTCAGTGCAAACTGTCCCGCAGCTATTAATAAGGTTCAATATATAAAAGCGAACCAACCCCAAACGCCACATGTAATTTAAATGCCAACAATGCAGCTGTCAGAGAGCCTTTCTGATGTGGGACTACCACCACCAAGCTCTGGCAATATGTCAAGCCCAGCTCCTAGCCAAAAGCCCCACTTCCAATACCTGTGCAATCAGTGCGGCCCATTTGTACATGTTTCGAGGAGTGGAGTCCACATAGCACTTTGCCAGTGCCAATCATAATGCAAATCAATAATATTACAGTGGAGCAAATTCGCATACAGGGTGCCATGCTCAGCAGCTCTATTTATGTGGACTTGTTGGTCAGCTGATTACCCTATAATAATAACCAAAATTGCCTTTATTATTGGCAGTACATAAGTCGAAGATTGGCTATAAAATATTATGTGATAGTCATAAACAGATTAGGAAATCGATTTTTAAATCGAAAATCTAAGAAGAAAGTTGTAGTTTATTTAAAAGCAAAATACTTATTTAAAGTTTAGTTTAAAATGAGTACAAATTACATATATATATATATATATATATATATTTATGCTTAGTCTTATTCCAAGCATTTCTCTGGAACACTTGGAAAAGCTCTTTTCCTATTGTCAGGCCGCCAGCGAGGCGCCCCACATAGCCGCAGCTTCCGCAGTACCGAGACAGCAGCAACCCTCCAAACAGTTGCCAACGTGTCCTATGTTTATCTCTCTCCGTCTCTTTCTCTCGCGCTCGCACACATCAGTGACACAGAATAAACCCACACGCCCAGCGGAAACGAAGGACTCTTTTATGCTCTCGATCCCACAATTGGGTTTTGCCTTCTGGTATTTGTGTGTTTCACATCATTCGTGTGCGACGTCTGCTGCCAAACGCTACCCGAAAAGAGTGCTGCGCAACAAAAATATATATATCCTAAATTGCAAATAGAATTATATAAACCAAGTGAGTTAGTTGGCCGGGTTTAGAGTGCCTTAATCATATGCGTATTCTGTTTTTGGGCGATGCGTTGGCATTTGGCATAACATGCAAATTGTTGTGTAAGGTTAGTGCAGTTGCGCCTGCCACAAGTGCAACGTCAGTTGAGTCACAGCTGCTGTGACGTCACTTATTGATTTTACTACTCGCCTGGTGTTTGCCTCTTTGTTTGTTTTTATTTTTGTTTTTGTATTTGTATTTGTGTTGTTGGCTTAAGACTAATCTGTCTAATTCAATCCATTCGTACAGAAAGTGCTGGCTGGAGAGCAGTTTCGTTGGCACACGTCCGCTGGACTCACCGCAAACGCCCGTCATTGATAGCAGCAGCAGCCCGCCCCCGATCCAGCAGCAGAACAAGCAACATCAACATCAACATCAACAGCTCCATTTGGATGCCACAACGGTGGTTGCCATTGGACAGCCGCCACTACGCATGAACGGACTTAGCCGAGTCGGCGGCGGTGGCGGTGAGTCCACCATTTATATCTGACCAACAGCAGTAGCAGTAGCAGCAGCACCTGGCCAATAATGGCCTGCTTAGTTTTTATCCTAGTATCCTAGTTAACTCTTTGATTTGTTTTTATTTATCTATCACAAAAATTGCTTTTGTAATTGTGCACAAAGGTCACAAATGAGAAATGCGTTTATACATATATATATATATATTTTCATAATTACATATATGTATATGCATATGTACATATATGAATACATATGTAGCTATGCTTACATATGCTTTTTATATACCTAAAAACAGATTATATGATTTCGTAGTCGCACACACACACAACACACACACACCCATACACAAATGTAGCTTGAAATGCAATTTTCTACATTTGTTTTTTATTTGTATTATGGTGTTTATCGTTAAAAACAAAAAGAAATAACAGAAAACAGAAGAAAATAATAATATTAGATAATAGGGCGCAAAGTGCAAATGCATTTGAAGTTTCTGTTGTTTTAACGACTGTAAATTACAAAAAACGTTCTTAACACATTTTTCTACACAAATTCATTTGAAATTGACAACCTACTTTTTTGAGCATATCAAAAGCAAAAAACGTACATGAGTAGTTTTTTTTAGTGTTTACAAAACTTATTTTAATAAATATAATATTTAATTTTATAATTAATTTTTAATAAACACAGCTATGGCATATACAGTTAATTATTATTGTATTATTATCAATATTATCATTATTACATATTTTTATTATTATTATTGTACTCGTCCCTCCTTGTCGCCCAATTTAATGCCAACAAATTGCATAGCTTACTTATCTGCGTATAAGTTTGCTATGCATCTCGTTGGCATCATTCATTTAAAATTCTGCTCAAAATGCACCATCAGAAACACACATTTTTAATTTTGGAATTTTCGATTTTAGGCTTGGTTTTTAAAATTAGCAAAATTCGTATACCCAACTCCCCAACAACAACAACAAAACAAAACAACAACAAAAAAGAACAACAAATTAAACAATAATAATAGCCGACTATTTAACAACTAAGCGTGCTATAAATTTAATTTCTTTTATATATTTATATGTAATGTAATCTGATTAGAATGCAACGAACGACGACTCGAAGATATTTCCTTCTCGATCGCATACTCTTATGCTACATACAAATATATATACACCTATAATTTTTTGTAAAAATGATTATTATAGATTCTAAACAAAAAAAAATAACGATATCAAGTGCTTTATATGTCTGCCTCGCTAATGGTGGCTACAATAAAAACTGAACAATATTTACATCAATTTTATTCGAAATGTTATCATTTTGTAGTTCTTTGTTTATTATTTTAGCTGCATTGTAGAAATAGTTGAGATACCCTTTGCTCTTTACAACCGAAATAATACACGCTTGTACATAAGCCATTTTCTCAGTGTAATTTTTGATTAAAACTTAACATATTCACTTGGATTTCTTACCTCAATCATTTAATGAACATAATTAATTCCCCCCCATTTTAGATATAAGAACATTTAATGCGCTATATATTTTTTCAAGCCTAACAACAATTTGTTTTTGTATTCTTATATTTTATATCGTGCATTATTAACAACAAAACAAAAAAAAAAAAATATTGTGCAACAAATTTGGTCCCAAAAAAAAAAAAAAAAAAAAAACAAAAACTTTGTAATTAAAATTGCATCTAAAGCGCCTGAACGCTCGTTGAGCAATGCATCGCTAGAAGATGTCTTAGCCTCACTTTTAGGACTGCCAACTACCTCCTCCTCCAACAGCCAGAACACCAACAGCAACAACAACAACAGAAACCAAGCAGCAGCGTCGACCATAGCAGGGTCCTCGACGACAGGTATGAACCTGTAAGTTTTTGATCCAATATATCCGATACCCACCAAAAAAAAAAAAAAAAAACTAAACTAAAAATGAAAAGATAACAACAAAAAATATATTTGGAAAATTATGTGAAAAAGAGAGAGAAGAGACAAATGGGTATAGGAAAAAAAAGACTACTTCAGTTCTTGTTTGTTGTTTGCATATAAAGCTCTATATCCTATATATATTCTCTATATATGTATATATATATACATACAATATACAAAGGCCTTTAACTCAGTGCTATGTGTTCTCTTTATATACTATATACTCCTAAATCCTAACGTTTCTTGTAGATTTGCTGAAACAACTTCATATACTTGGTTAAATATTATCTAGCAATCTATCAAGCGCATTTAGTTCTAGTTTGAACATTTTACTTTCCATTCTTATTTTCGAACGAAATTACACTGAGAAAAAATACATGACATACATATATCATATACGCTGCGCTTGCGTCGTTATTCAACACTAAAACATACATATATACTGAAAGTATCCTTTCCACTAGAACTGCTCCCAGCATGCGAGGCAAGATATATATATATATATAACAAAAACAAAAACATCCTATTAAAACATCCATTTGAATGCTCATTGTTGTTGTTGTTGTTAATTGTGATTTTTGAAAGATTTGATTGGATGTGCAGTAAACGCGTTCCACTAATCGGCTTTACGCATATCGCCTTCGATTCTCTTCCACAGCAGATACAACAGCTAGTAGTAGGAGTCGCCAACAACAGCTGGAGGTGGAGCAGCAGCTGCTGCGTCGTCGCAGCGAGGGAGACGCACCCAGCCAGAAGCAGAAGCAGCAACAGCAACAGTATCCAAATCAGAATCAACCAAACCAATCACAATCGCAATCACAATCACAATCCCAATCACAAGCTCAATATCAATATCAATCGCAATCACAGTCACAGATTTCGAGCAATGCCAGCAACCGACGCGTTTCGCTTGGCGACTCCAATTCCGCCCAGGCGGATAAGGGCAATAACGGCGATCAGCAGCAACAGCAGCAGCAGCAGCAGCTGCAGATCCGTTGCCGCAATACCAAGTGTGAGGCAAGTGCCACGCCCGCCGAAGCCAAGAAGCTGTACAAGTCATGCCACAATTGTACCCATCTATATTGTTCACGTGAGTGTCGGCGCGCCCACTGGGAAAAGCATCGGAAGGCGTGTCTCCACTCGCGCGCCTCCAATTTGTGCCGGCAGGTGTTAGCCACGTGCAAGGACGACGTTGACTCTCAGCGGCATCTTAGCCTGCTGGCGCGCCGGGGTAGCCTGTCGCAGGGACGTGGTGTTGTCCGTGTGCTCTTTCGCAGCGCGGAGGCAGCGGAGGGTTTTATCAAGCATGGATTTCAGTGCATGGGCGAGGCATCGTATGTACGCTGGCCGGATCTGATGCCGGCCGAAATGGGTCTGGAACTGTACTCGGAACTGCTCAAGCTCAGCACCGAATACAAGCCCGAGTCAAAGATGTTGATCTATGTGGCCATTTGTGTGGTCTCCGAGGCGCCGGGCATGGGTCAGGCGCCAGTGCGCTGGGAACGCCAGCTGGTCTCACGTTGTGCCAAGCTGAAGCTGTGCAAGACTGTGCTCGCCGAACTGGAGCTGCAGCAGCAGGCATTGCAGCAACCACTCGCTGTGATGGCCGTGCCGGAGAGCACCGAGATACTCATACTCACCTTCAATCCGGGTCTGCGCACCGTGCCCGGCAACCGGGAGTTAATATTGTCCAACATCTTGGACATTCTGTCGCGGCGTGGCGTACTCCTTCGCAAACACTATCCGGAGATCTATCAGCGACTGCAGACCTACACGGACGGCCAGGCGGACAAGTTTAATCCGGTGACGCTGCATCCGCGTGACTCGCAAACTGGCCAGAGTTTCGTCTGCATCATAATGCCCGTCCACACGGACAGTGAGTTCATCAAGCTGCCCTCGGCGGCAGATGGTGGTGGCAATCGTGTGACCACCATTGATGTCGGCTCCCCCGCCGCCCTCGCCCAGCTGGACGATGATGAGCTGCTCACACGCAACACGCCATCAAGTTGATTAAAGGCTGGCAACCGCAACAGCAGCATCAGGCAAAAAAGGACCACCTTTGGTGATGATGATGCCCTGAGCTGTGGTTTGGAGAGCACACGGATGTGAGAGTGCCTCAATCGCTTCCACGTTTTGCTCTCTGGATTTAGTAAATAAGTCTTTGAACAACAAGTCGCTTCTACTATCGTTCTCTACTCTACTACTACAAATATTCATGTTAGTTAGTCAGCTGTTCAGTTACTGCAATTAGCTAGTTATCTACTAGTAACAAGGGCTAGTGTGAGCACACACAGGCGTCATATATCAGTAGTGCCCTCCACTTCCAAAAAAGAAAAAAAGAACACTCGTTGTCTGGAACACCATCAGTCCCCATCCATTTGTCAGATCGCGATAGAACTCTCGAAAATTATCTAAAAAAAAAAAGAAAAAAAACAAAACCAAATTAAAAGAAAAACATTTATTATTTGGGGGAATTAAAGCCACCAGCAAAAAAAAAATAAACTAACTTCTAACTTTAAAAACTAATGTTAAAAAACGTCAAGCTTTACTATCATATATCTCTGAGCTTACAGGTGACAGCAAGTCACATGCGAAAGCTACATGCTATATAACTGCAAGCTAAGGTTGACAGAGTTGAGACCCAATAATTGTTGAAAGATGTCCTTCACAGTTCTCAATGGATATCACTGAACGTTACCCCTGAATCCTTCAGATCTATTCTGCAGCTTCCAAGTAGCAAGAAAGAAAAACTAAAACACTTTCAACTTTCTAGCTTAAGAGACAAGAATTAAGTTAACGCGAAAACACAAGACAATTTCCTATATAAGCTGCGGCGCTACTCGAAGCATAACCTCACTTTTTATATTGCAATTCACATAGACACATCAAAAACTATATATATATATATATATATAACTAACTACAAATACTTGAGTATTTACATGCATACATATATACAAATAACTTCTTCTATGTGTTAAATGTAACAAGAGCAAATTGTTTGCTTATGGCCTTATTTAAAGTTTGTTGAATTTGTTCTGCCCCTCCAAAAATAAAGCGTAACATTTTGTAGCCTTTGAAATTAGGTTTTTTATTTATGTGTAAGTCAAATGCGGATCTAGGTTAGCTTAAATATATATCTATTAGTTAAATTTTGTGTACTAAATACTAGAGTTGAGAATCAAAAGCTAATATAATGCCCAATAACCAAAATTTTGACATTCACTTTTAGCTAAAATAAATATTATTAGATCGGTAACTCTCCAAATATTCCTTTTCTAGTTCAAATTGCTTAACCAAACACACAACAATTTATACATTTTTGTGTAAATAATACAAAAGAACTTGTATTCAAATACATATACATATACAAATACATATACATATACATATACATACATGCAAACATTCATTACATTATATACATATGAGTAAAAAGCGCTTTAATTAACACAATTCTACAGATTCGTACAACACACAACATTAGTTCTCAAACAATATAAAGAAAACTGTAAGTTGTTTAGTACTTGTAAGAACGACTTGAAATACAATAAATAAAATGCATTCAACATTATTGAAATAAAATGAGTTTCAATCTGTGGGCTGTGGGCAAAAAGAATAATGGTCATAACTACGTTGGTCTAATAAATTGTAACAATACAGTCGAACAGGGGCTGAATTCGGTTGTGAAAATCAAAAATTTTAAAGCATATTTTTGTAGCCAACAATAAAATCTGTTGTACAAAGTAGATTTAAAAAATTCAAATCTCTTAGCATACTTTTAGGATGAGCAAAAAGGCTAGGACAGCAACTTTTCAGACGACAACTCTAACTCTGCGTATCCTTGCGGATTCGATGAACATCGTGAGTTAGGATTATAAGGACTAACTGTATTCATTGGCATACGAGGTTTAGGGGGTTATCTAAGAACCAAACAAAAAAATTCAGTCAAACGCAAAATCCCTACCAGACACCTTTGGATGTCCTTTGGTCAGCTTATGGTAATTACGAGTAGTAGGAAACATGGGTCGCAAGGATGCACAAATATACTTCTGAGATATGATCATTATTATGCATACAGGAAAAACTTTGATCTTAGTGATTTGAAGGACCATCCAATATATTCATTTGACTTGCTTGTTGATCGAAATATATCCTAATAGTATTTATGATGGCCAAGTTTAGGCGATTTTTCAATTCTAATATGATTTTTTCTGACTGTTTGGAAAATATCCTAGATTCTTGAATGGGTCTGACCTGGGTCTCACGAGTTAAAAAACATCAATATAGCCGAAGAACTGAATAGAAGCTAAGGACATATTGCGCTAGGATGCGATAAGTAAATAGTTTTGAAATTATTCAAATATGATTTATTTATTAAAGTTATAATTGTTTCGTGTAATACTTATTTAGATTTACATAAATTGTATTTAAAATGTTGGTTTGTTTTTTCTCCTTAATGCTAGTATTGTTTTTAAACGAATTAATGTCCTACCCATATATGTATATATACATATACCAATGACGATACGGATGTATATTATGTATGTATGTATGTATATAGTACATGCCTGCGTAGATTCTTACGTATTTGCTTTCGATGCGCCTAACGCACGCTCCTCCGCTTATATAAATCCGTGTAAATTACAGCTACAATTTGTATACGGAAATAGACTATAACACTTATAATGTACCACACACATTGCGCCATATCTATGTTACATTCTATGAATAAATTAGGTTCGATTCGTTTTGTTGTTAAACGTAAAAAAGCGTTTTGGCGGTTCTCTTTCGAGACAGCCACCAAGCCCAATTTATAGAGCCCTACATGAAAAACTACGGTATTAAAAAAAATAATAATATTAATAATATATGTATATATAACGTTAATGGTGCCTAGCTGGTAATGGTGATGATGACGATGCTCCTCTCCTGCCTCGATTACTATTATTATTATTATGTACAGGCGCCAGCTCAATAGTTTGATGCCGAACTAAAGGCGGCGCCCTGCTCTGACAGCTCATCCTGACGTTGTGAATTCTGTGTCGTTGGCAACTGATAGTAATAGCCTGGATACGGATGCGTTGAAAATGAGCCTGTTCCCAAACCCGTGCCCGTGCCCGTGCCCGTGCTCGTGCCCATGCCCGTACCCGTGGCCGATTGATAGGCGGACGCCGCTGCCGTAGTTGTTGCTGTGCTAGTCGTCTTGGCATTGGCATTGGTTGCTCTTATCTATAAGCCGCCGATGATCACCTCCTGTTGCGCATCGTCATCCATGTCTGGCAGCTCCTGCTTGTGCACGACCATGCCATCACCAGCCGGCTGCCTGGGCGCCGTTTGTCCATATTTCTGATGTATGCCCCGGTGGCGTTTCAACGCGAAACGATCGGCAAACGCTGCCGAACATATTTCACATTTGTACGGCTTCTCGCCGGAGTGCACCTTGGCATGGTTCTTCAGATGTGCCGCCTGCGAAAAGGCCGAGCCGCATATTTCGCACTTGTACGGCTTCTCGCCGGTGTGTATGCGACGATGATTCCACAGCGTGGCATGACGCGCAAATCCCTTGTCGCACACCCCGCACACATACGGACGTTCGCCGCTGTGCGTGCGCTCGTGATTCTTCAGATGCGGCGATTGCGAGAACTGCATTCCACAAGTTTGACATCTGCACACAAGTAATACACACATATATTAATGAGTAAATGATAAACATAAAATGCGTTTCATTTTGGTTGTCGTCACCTACTTGTAGGGCTTTTCGCCAGTGTGTATGCGCGCATGGTTCTTAAGGTAGACGGCCTTGGCAAATGCCAGTCCGCAGATGGTGCACTTGTAGTTCTTCTCGCCGCTGTGCAGCTTCTTGTGTGACCACAGGCTGGAGTAGCGTGAGAAGAGGCCGCCGCATATGTTGCAGCTGAAGGGTTTACTGGGATTTCTGCAAGCAAAACAAATAAACATTAGCTTCTAATATGCGATAGTTTAAATGATGGGGAAAAACCCACTCGGTCTTCACGGTGACAGAATTTTGTTTGACGGAACCACTGGCGCCGGTATGTGTATGTGTGTGTTGACCCATTAGAACGACGCCGGAACCATTGCACTTTTGACATTTGGTCATCTGTTGGGAGTTGCGCTTCTTCACCGGATGATGACCGGATGAGCTCGGTTCTCGCTTGGGAGTTGTGCTGCCAGTTTGCTGGGCAACAATCTGCTGAAGCTGAGCTTGCGCCTGGGGTGTAGTTGATATGATTTGTACAGGATGCGCCATTTGACCTGTTTTTATGGATGGAAAACATTTAGTTTACAATTAGATCTTCACATTTGAAGATATGGTGTTTACCATCGGGTGCCACAAATATTTGTTGTTGCGCCGCCTGCTCCGCTTGCATGCAGGACTCGCAGCGCACCTGCTTGGGACCCTTGCGCTTCGACTGTTGCATCATGGCAGTGCCGCAATTGATGCACTTGCTCGACTTGGAATTGTCGTGCTGCTGTTGCTGTTGTGATGCCTGCTGTTGTTGCTGCTGCTGCTGCTGTTGCTGCTGCATCACGGACTGTTGCACTGGCTCCAGTGAATCGGAAGCAACGATTTGTATTTGTCCCATCTGTCCATTGCCGGTGATTATATTTTGTGTCTGCACCAGACCCTGTGCGTTGACCACCGTGATGGCATCATTCGATTGCTGTGAGTTATGCTGCTGCGGATCGGAGCCATCGGTGTGCATCCGCTTGTGAGCGTTGAGCAGTGCCAAATGCTGAAACATCTCCGAGCAGACATCACACTTGAAGCTGATGTTTGATATTGTATTTTGCAGTGGTGAAATTGTCTGGAGAAAAGAGTTTGACGATTTACTTAATGATTGCCCCATGTTTAACTATAGTCTACTACTTTATATACTCTTAATGAAACTTTTAACAACTGCTAAGCTGACATATTTACATGTTACTTGTTTAGCTAAGCCTTCTTTTCAAAGAGATGGCGACTTACCGCTGCAATTGGCTTATTTTGATTGACAATCTGTATGCGTCCTTGTGCATCTACAGTGGCGATGCCCACGGTGCCCTGATTGAGGGGCATTCCGTTGACCAGAGCATAATTGTAGCCACCAACTGGCTGTGTAATGTAGCAAGTCTTATTGTCGTCTGTGGTGGCCAATTGTGCCAGATTTACCGTGCCGCCATTGCCCTGCATATTGCGACAAAAACCAAACAGAAATAATGAAAATATGCCAAAGCATGTAACGCATTTAACGTTCCACTCACATTTGTTGTGTAGTAAAAGGTGGGCTGTTGATCGGCCTTCTGGCCCTCGATTTTGGGTTGTTTGAGAATGGTGCCGTCTGCTGTTTGGTATTGAATCGTTGTCGGTTGGCCGTTGATGGCGTTTGTGAATATTATGTTCTTGGTGAGGTCTTCCATTATGTGCACAAATCACTAAATGGCAATGCAAATTACTTCAAATATTTATTGTTTTTATTTAAAGTAAAACTAAAATGTGCGAAATTCGTTTAAATAAAATGCACATTGAGTTGTGTTTCACAACACTGGCGACGCCACCAATACGGCGTGTGCGAGCGAGCCAACCATAGAGCACACACGTCAGCGAAAAACGACTGATTAAAAATGGCGACGATGAGACAAAAAATATGTATGCGCTGCACACACTTCACAAACGAACACAAAATTGTAACTTCATTTCAAAATATGCCGCTGTCTGCACTCGTCAATTGCACAATATGCATCTAAATTGTACAAATTTGAGCAGAATAGCAGGCAGTTGGACGCTTACGCTTGATTTGGCAATTTACCTTTTACGCAACCAACCACAAAAAATAGTTTCTGCTGCGCCTTGCACGCCCAGCGCAGCACACACACAGTGGCTATATTAAATAGATTTATTTTGGCACTGTTAATTTAAACGGCTAATGCACGGCCGGTTGTCAGTTTTTTATCCACAAAATTTTGTTTGGAATGAAAGCAAAACTTTATTATTGTTTTTTCTTCCTCTAACAAATTAAATTCCAGCACAAAAACCTTCTGCTCGTTTGTTCTTACGTGCGTTCGAATGTGGACTGCTGAAGAGAGACGGAGAGTGAAGAAAGCCATGGAGAGAGCAGTAGCACATTAACCACGCCACTGGGCTGCCAGACCGCGCGTTTTATCTTCGAGGGTGGCCAGATCGCTGGTTACCATTTTAAAATATATGGGGATAAAAAATACCGCGCTTAGCTGGTCGCCTTTTACAAATAAATTTTAAAAATGAAATAGTTATATAAATATATGCTCACACATATACTGATTAAAATTAATGCATGTATGTACTTATATATAAATATTTAATATTGCATTTGTTTAAATCAATTTTGAAATGTTCTCTAGTTGCTGTATAAGAATTGTAAAACATTGTAATAAATATGAGGAAATTGTAAAAATATCAGACGTGTATTATAATAAGAGTGTGGCTCTTCGACAGTTGACTCTTATACATATAAGCCGAGCGTGGCCAGATCAGTAAAATATGATCGACTATGCTGCCAGATGGGTGTTAGCCGAACCGTTTTAAATACAAGCGAAAGTCTCGCGCCAATTTAAAAAGAAATTGGCTTGCGGCTCTAATAAAATAAAATATTAATTTTTATTGCAAAACTTATGCAGTTTGAAGCACATTAGCCGGGTGTTCAAGCAAAAGACTGCCGGCATTATGCCAGCACTCGCCATCGCCCACGCCAAACGCTGCATTGAAAGTTTTAAACTGGCTGTTGTCGTTGCCGTGTCTGGTCCAAGTCCAGGTCCCGGTCTACAAGTCCAGCGTCGTGTCGCAGTCATAAATTACACTTTCAAATTATTTGCAACACTGCATTTTGGAAAAGCTGACGGTGAATTTGGGTCAGCAGCAGTGGCAGGCATGATGCTGGTTTCAGCATCGGCATCGGCGTCACCGTCGACCACAGCAGCCTTCAAATGAATGCTCATTTCCATTATATTTTATTCATTTGCCTTAAATTAATTGCTTTGTGCAATGGCCGTTGAAGCTTTTTGGAGCGCAAAATAGTAGACAACGTTATTGTTGCGCTTGCACAACATTAAAGAAGAAGAAGAAGCGCTAGAAGAAGAGGATGCCCACCACAAAATCAGCAACAACTACAACAACAAAGCTAATTAAGTGCACAAGAATAGCAACAACAACATGCACATTTTGATTGCATATTCATTTTTTGGTTCAACGTTCTTCTTGGCCCAAAAAATGTTCATGCTGCACGCTTCGCTGCACATCATTGCATTAATTTGTACGTTCAAGATACATTTTTACACAAATATTTCAACATATTTTGTATGTTGCGGTGCGCCATTTGTAAATGTTTCTTTTTATTTTTTTTTATTTATTTTTTTTTTTTTGTTTGCTTTTTTGGTATGTTTGCAAACACGAATTGCCGCCTTTTGTTGTTATTATAATTAAGTTCATGGCGTGCTGCCGTTTTATGTACGGATTGCAGTAGTTAAGCACTTTCAAAAAGCCCATAAAAATAGCAACGCAATTGTCTGTCTGACAAAACTAAATCAGCGCAAGTGCGTGGAGAAATTTTCACTTCTCTTCGCTTTTAACAGCGACTGCGACGCCGACGCGAACGCCGCCGTCGCCGTTGCCGTCGCTGCCAGTTAGCTGTTGTAATAGACTCAAAAAATAATAAAATCAACATTATCTCAACTTTGACTTTAAGTGAGCGAATTTTTCTGTTTTAAGAATTGTAATACCATAAACATAAGTAACCATACGAGTTTTCACTTTTTTTTTTATTTTTGGTTATTTCTTTTCTTTCATGCAAAAGAGACTTTTTCGCTATCGCTTTTCATATTTTTACAGTTTACAGTTAATTTATGCCGGCAACGAATTTTCACTCTCGCTATTTTTCCGCATTTTAGACTCTGTCTGGTAAAGTGGGCAAGCACAAGCACACAACCAACAAATGAAGGCGCATCCGCCAAAAAAATATAAAAAAAATAAATACAGAAACGACACAGAAATGAAAAGTGCGCCGTTAAAAATAGCTACAGCCAGTCAAGAGACTCCCAAAGTCTGAGCCCAAAAATTGCGACGACGATTGCAGCAGCAGCAGCAGCAGCCGAAGCAGCCAAAGCAGTCAAAGCAGCCGCTTGTGGGTTAGATTAGAAAGTGGTTGGCATCGCTTCATCGCACCAATGCTGTTCAAATCGAAGACTGCAGATTCTTGAGCGCAAAAAAACTGTGCCGGCCTGCAATCGCAACACACACAGATAAACACAACTAGAAAGAGTGCTCTAGTGCAGAGAGCACAACTATTCGATACCCTGTACAATACATTGTATTGTCTGCTTAGTTCTAATATTATGGCAAGTAATATGCCAAAGGAAGGTAATCGATTTTAATGTATATTAAAGACATGGCCAGATCTACTCGGCTGATGATGCGGTGGTCGCTTTGTACAAATTCAAAGCACCCTGTTTACTCGTTTTCAATAAGTACAGGGTATTAAAACAAACATACACACAGACAGCAGCCGCATTAATTGGCATTTTTGCATGCGTTGCGGAGCTGTTGGTGGCACAACCGGCTGCAGCTAGTGTTGGTGCTGGTGTTACTGCTGCCTCTGCTGCTGCTGCTGCTGCTGGTCACCGTTGGCCGTGGCCAATGAAAGAGAAAATTGGCCCCAAATCAAGTTCACAATCATTGGCCGACGGCATCGCAGCGCTTTTTGTTGCCAACTAATATTTTAAAATTGTTGATTATGATGACTTTTCATTTCGTTCGCCAAGATCTGGATTGCGCATCAGCATCTCGGTATCTCGGCATCTGCATCTCGGCATCTGCATTAGCTTGTACATCAACTTTGCACTGGCCCCAGTCAAATTGCACTTGCAAGTGTTGTTTTTATTATTATTTTCTTGCTTTGCTTTTAATTTGACGCTTGAATGCAGACACCGACGCCGCTGGCCGAGATCATTAGCCATGGACAGACTGCAGCTGCTTGGACTGCACATGAAGCATACGCAGCATTGGCCAGTCCAGCAATCGTTAGCGCAAATATTACTTAACGTCTCTCCCGCTCCATGTGGAAATGGTCATGGAAATGGAAATGGAAATGAGAATGGAAATGGCTAACAATATTTCACGGTACATTAAATTGTTGGTCAAGTTTTCGCAATGCGCGTGGCAAACTATCCATCATATTGCACATGCCCATGTCCGCCCATGTTGGAAAGCTCCTATCCAGGAAGCAACTGGCTCTTGGCCAACAGTTATGGCTTTCGACCCAAACGCTTCAATGTCAACAGAAGTCGTTTGACTTTGGAATGCGCATCTGAAGTTTTTCAATTTTCATATGTGTACAGTAAAGTTAAAGTCGAAGTTCTTCAATGGTATGTTTTAAGAGTAAAATTACTCAAGCGTTCGAGTTGCGCCGAGTACATTTGTATGCAGCTTAAGGTTAACTGATTATGTGCCCCAATTGCGCATTGAGGCAAACAAATTACAAAAACCAGATAAGAATCCAAAGCTAAACCCGCAAAAATGTTACCTATCTTAATGGTGTATTTTGTACTTCGCTACTTTGTAGCTAACCAAGGCGGGCATTTCTAACACTACAGTGACTACAATTTGTACATGTACACATGTCTAAGCGTGTTGACACTCCATGTGGAACGCAGCAAATGTTTCGGTTCTGTTCAAGTCACATTGGCTTATTTATCAAAAGTATTTTGAATTTCTTAGCAATCTATTTTTAAAATAAAAGCAGCTCCATTAATTGTTAACCTTATTTTTATGTGTATTTACGCAATGCAATTACAACTCAAGATTTCTTAGTCATATTGAAATCTAATTAACATTGAAGACTTCCTCGTCTTCCTTCCTCATAGAGCTTGCCTCAGTAACAAATCAGCTTTAATTGCAGATTACAGCAGTGGCTGTGAATATTTGTTCTTGACATGCGTTTTCTGATTTAACCAATTGTGTTCAAACTTTATCGAAACTATAACTTTGATCCGCTAACCTTCGGTCCCTGATTTTTGAGTCTAACCGCATATTATTAAGGCCCCTTTTGATGGTGTAGGGCTGGTAGGGGTATAGATTTCCGTTGGAAAGCAAAATAGAAACTATATAATTAGTAATGGCTCTAGGTACGCCCAAAGGCGTTTCTTTTTCTGAGGCCATGGCAATGACAGCAGCAAAAAGCTTCAGCTTCAGAGTTGGTCCCAAACGAAACTGAAAACTCTCACACGCTCCGGCCTGAAGATGACAGATGACAATGATCTATGGGATTCTTGAAATTGAAACCGCTGTTCAGAAGAAATACAAGTACGGGTTCAAACAAGAGCCAACTGATAGCCGTAAAGCAAACATGCAATTGACTTTCGCGCCGTATGACACTTGAAGAGCGCATGGTAATGGAATGGCCCAAGGAACCGGGAACCAGCGAACCGATCGACGATGGAGCACAAACTGGCTAGAACCACTTTCTACAATGATCGTCGTCGTCAGCGATTCGTCTTTCGTGGGGCAAAGTAAAAGTCAATTTCTTCACCCGCTGTCGCAGTTTTTTGTTTGTGCTGCGCCGCAACGCAGAAGACGACGTTTTAATTTGTGGCTTCTTTTTTATTTTGTTTTTTTCATATTTTTTTAGTTATTTTTTTTGGTTTTTTATATTTATTTTGCTTAATTACGGTATGAAAATCGTAAACCGTTTTATGTTTTAAGGGCAACGGAACGAACATTTTTGTGCTTTCTGGCAGCCAGTGGGCAAATTCGTTTGTGTTGCTTCTGTGTCCGTTTGCTTTTGTTTTGGTTTCATTATGAAAAGGAAATGGGAAATTATTACGAAAATTATGTTGCGCCGCTTGGGAAATTAGGCCACATTGAGCGCAAAAAAACAACAAAACCAAACAAAAGACTTAAGACACAAACTTAAAAAGATACATCAGCAAAGGTGACGGCAGCTGCGCCCGCATCCAATTCAAGCTACAGATTAATTATAACATGCAGCACCGCTTGTCTTCTGGCCAGGCGCATTAATTATGCCAAAGACAAAACCAAACCGAGCAAACGTCGAGGAAGTCAGTTAAGCACAGTGGAACTGGGTTAGAATGGAAACATCACTAAAACATAATATTACTGTCATTGTTAGACACAAAAATCATCAATGAAATACGTGCTCATTCTACAGCGACCTACATAAATGTTCGCATACGCTATATATATGTATATATTATTTTTTTGGGGAACATTCAACAACAAATACACGAAAACGCTTAATACATATTAATAAGTATATGCATTCTAATCGTTTTTGTGCCACTGTTGAAGCTTGCAAATAATTTAGTGGCGCAGTGGCACCCAACAGCCGCATTGCCAATGCCAATTTGCATACAAACTACGATGCTATAAAGTAATCAACCCCAATTCAGAGCAAAGATTCGCACGGTTAGGTGACGCAGCATCCGCTTAAAGCGTCGCCAGCGACGCAGCCAACGTTGGCGGCAGCGTCGCAGCGACTGCGCCAGATTCAGGCGTCGATAGAAGAGCTCCAGCAAGAGCATTAGAGCTAGAAGCGAGCGAGTTTCATAATAATGAATGATTAATTCGGGCAGTGCTTGCTTGACCCACTGACCTGCCGTGAGCGAGCCCACGCCGAGGGCGATGAAGGCGCCTTGCAACATTCGTAGATTGAGAGCGCTAATCATCTCATTGTCCTGTGTGTGCTGTGGCTGGTTCTTGGCCTCGTTGCTCTTGGTGTTGGCATTGGCTTGGGCACTCTCCACAGCAGCCAACTCCTTCGATTGCTGCGCCTGCTCCTTGGTCATCATACGAGACTGTGCCTCGTATTCAGCCGTTGTCATCTTGTCCAGTATGCCGCCCTCAAACAAATGCATTAAGCTTAAGCTGATAATCGGAAAAGTCTGATTTAAAAACTTGAGCTACACCTACACATCATTGAGACTGTCCAGGAAGGGGCAACCGATTTGCACGGCCACAGCGGAATAGCGAGTGTATAGCTTCTGACTGAGCTGAAAGTTCTTGGCGCCGTATTGCTGTATATTGAAGTAGAGGGTCTCACGTCCGCCCAACACAGCCTTGTTTTCCCGGCCATCGGTGATCAGCTTAATGCCCGCCTCCACAGAGTCAATGAGAAAGGCGCGTGGATCATCCGGCTGCTGTTGTCGCATCAGGGCGTATAGTTGCCGAAACAGCTCAGTGCCATTCTCGAGCATTTCCAAGGAGCTGCTCTCCTTTTCCACGTACAAACGATAGCCATCCCTCAACATGGCCGACTGCAGACGCTGCAAGGTGTTAATCGGTGCCTCATGTGCCGGTCGTGCAAACTGTGAGGTCAGCTGGGCGGAGTAGACATCGGCCAGCACATAGGTGGCAGCGATCCAATACACAATAGTCAAGAACTTGGCGCGATAGTCGTGGTACAGTTCATGGCATGCTGTGGGGCAGATTCAAGATTAAAGTTTAGAAATTCAATTTAAATACCTAATGGAATTGGTTAAATATCCAAATATCAGTGCTTACTCACATTGCTTGAGGAACAAGCGCAGTGTAAACCAAATGCAACGCTGGAAAAGCTGTGGCGGCATCTGTGCCGATGGTTGAGGTCGTCTCAAGCGCTTGACCTTAAGCACACAGGGCGTGATCTCTTTGATGTAGGCCATATAGATGCACAGATCGCCCATGTGCTCCACATCGAAGGCGATGCGACGGCTGCGCCACTTGTAGGGCATGGCAATGATGCCATAGAATATCGGGCCAGAGAACACAATAGTCAGGATGAGATATGGCCATATGTCCAGCTTAAAGGGACGCATAATGGCCAGGGCCTCGTTGAGGCGTCTCGGCGCATGTGTTGCAAAGGCACCAGAGTCGGCGAGCGTAAAGAATGAGAATTCAATTGCCTTGCGCCGTTCCCAGCTGAGGCCAACATCACCCAGAAAGAAGTCGGCCAACTATGAAGTACATGGAAAAGGCAATTACTTAGCAATATGTTACGCATTGGATACCTACGCCACTCTGGAGCATGCCTATTCCACCGGTAAAGCTATCATTTAGCTCGCCATTGTCATCCATGGCACGCAGTGATCCTTGGGTTCTGCCCGGCGCCTCAATGTAGGCAAACTGAAAGTTCATATGTTGTGCCAGGAGCATCAGCAATCGATGATCTCTTCCGCCGGTGACATTCACTTCATTGTACTCGATATTCTCGTACTCCTCCAACGGCTCCTCACTGCTGCTGCTAATGTTGCTGTCGTTGTTGTAGCTAACCCAGAACCAGGGTGGTGACTGAGAGTTTAACGTGTATGCAGATTATACAGAATTGAATAATGATTGCTAAAATTAACAGAATAACTCTCACTAAAACCACACAAAAGATGCGTTAGACAATCAAATGCTCGTTTGAAATAAAGTAAGTATCGTCTCTATTTGCTTTCATCAAGAAAAGGTGTTCTGATTGTGGTATACATTTACTAAAGCAACACTTGTTCAAACTAGCTCTGAATTCTATTTTAAAATATAGCCAAACTAAGTAAGAAAGAGTAAAGATAAAGTCTATAACAGACTGATTATGGTTATTATTCCACTTCGAGATAATCTCTAATCCAATATCTTATGCACTTAATAACGTTCACAGTTCTACTTATAAAATTACTAAATTTCATTGGAATCACTCACTGCCACTAACAACTTACGTGAAAAACAGGCACACGAAAAACGCGACTTTCAAAATTCGCATAGACTGCAGCGGCGCTGGGCAGGAGCGGGGTCTTTTGCAGGCCCAGATTGTCGCCATCGTACCAGTTGACCAAGCGGAGCTGGCTGGTACCCGTGGGCACCGCCTGATTGTAATAGATGCGAAATGCCTTGTGACGCGGTCGTGTGATGACCACCGCTCGCATCGGCTCCTCGAAGCTGAGGCGCGTCGCATTTGGCGGCTGCCTGGCGCCCCAATAGAAGATGAAGAGACTGAGCCGATGGGCCAGTCGCCGCTCCTGTATGCGTGCCGATAGCTCATCCGGTTCGTGGAATATTAAATTGACGCACTCGATGGCGCCCAACAGATTGGCATCAATGTAGTCAAAGAAGAGCTCCGTGTCGTAAAATATGACAGACTTGTAGTATAGCTCATGCAGTCTCTGTATAAAGTCATCCACTTGGATGGTGTCATCATTCTCGCAATCCCCACTAAGTAGCCGCGAGCTGGGCAATGCCAATATGGCTAATTGACGTGGCTGCAGGCCATTGATGATCTGCGAGAGCGCTGCATCGAATTGCATTGAATTGAATTAAATTGCATTGAATCGATCATTTAATTGGCCCGACCGCCTATCGCCTACCTATCGCCACGTCGGATTCGTTGCACGGACTGTGACTGAGCTTGGCCAGCAGCGTCAGCGACCCAGAGAGCAACAACAGCACAACCCAACTGCACTGCATATTGAGACATGGAGTTTTGAGTCCTACACCACGCTCTTTTATAGTGCGCTTTATGATTGCTGTTTGATGAGCAATTACTGCATCAGGGCTTAAATATCACATGTCATTTGGCTGCAGACAGCCCAGACAGACAGACAGAAAGACAGTTGCTGAAATGCTAAAAAAGTATACAAAAATTGCTATTGCAACTTTACGAACGTTCTCTGCCTTTTTTGATTCCAGGAACAAATCTTTTTTATTAATAAATAAAATATAAATTGTTGAATTTCCCGGAAACTTAATTGTTTTCAGAAATTTCTTAAAATTAAAAAAGCTTTTACTTTTTTTTATAGAAAACATTTGGATAAGTAAAAATGCAAACCTTAATCTTTAGAAAAATAATTTCTGAAATTGAAAAAATAGATTTGAAATTTGTTTTCTCAACTGATACGTTTGAGTTTTTTTTATAGGCATATATAAAAAACAAAAAGCTGAAAATTATATATATTTTTTCTACATTTAAAAAAAAGAAATAAAAATGGTTTCATTATAGCAATTATAGCAATTGGGTCTGAAATATCACATATCAATAAGCGCAGACAGCCTAAAAAGACAGCTGAAACGTTTGAAAATGTTGAAATGCTGAAATGTGCCCATTCCGACTATCGATTTTCATAATCATAACTGGGGCCTTTAGCTGGGCAATCTCCCGCACTCTCACGCTGGCCCACAGGCCAAGCGGAGCTGCCAAGTTATTTTTTTAATTGTCAGAAGTTTGTCATTGCCATTTTCGCAGACAACAATTTCTCCCCGTGATCGTCGCCTGTCTCACTCTCTATTCATGCCTGTGTATTGATAGATGGATCGATGGATCGCTCAATAGATGCATGATAGCAGTTGCCAGTTGCCAGTTGCTGTTGTTGTCGTCAATCTTCTAATGTTGTTGACATTAATTCCGTGTTGTGCGCATTTTTCTTTTGCCTCCGTTATTGTTGTTGTTGTTGTTGAGGCTGCTGCTGTTGCTGCTTCTGCTTCTGCCGCTTTCAACTCACATGTCAACGCTCTACTTTGTTGCGCCAGTCAATGATTTATCGCAATCAGAGACGCAACAGCAGCAACAGAAGTAACAGTCAAGATTACAAGTGTGGATGGATACTTAACTAGTTTGTGGGTTGCAATTGACTGCATCATGATTTAATTACAAATGAAGGGATCGACTAATAACTTACGTACTTACAACACTTTATTTTCAATCTTGTACACTAAAAGTTACCTTTTAATATTTTCAATCAAATCTGCTTAAATTACTGGCGAAAGAAAATTATTTATCCCATATTAATTATTTATTTCTACACAATTGTATTTTGCGTAACACAAAAATTTACATAAGTCAGTCACATAATTTTAAACATAAAAGCAAATTCGTTGTGAATTAGCTTAAAACATATTTATATTTTAATTATTATTTAACTTCTCTTTAAAGTTAAGCAAGCTTTTAAAACACAAAAATTATAAAATATTACTTAATGACTACTCTCATTTGCGAATAAGTTTGTTTAGAATTTTTTGCTTGTTTTAGAAGTGTATTTTTTTTATATCTTTGAACCAGACGTTTTATTAAGAATATGTATATATTTAATAATATTTTCTAAAGGTAGAAAATAAGTTATTAAGATTCATTAACAATAAATATGCATACAAATAATCATATCGCTTACTGTAATAATCATCCCAACAATTTTACAAATGGTTTCACAAACATAACCAAATATTTCATATCTCATCCAAATGGCAATCAATGAAAGTCGCTTTGAGCCGTTTTGTTTGACCAAATGAGGGTTCTGATGCCATTTTCGGCGATAAGCTCTAAGAAGCGAAAGAGAAAAGCCAAAAAAAATAAATAAATAAATGAAAAAAACTGATGACCCGATTATGATATGAGAGCGTATATAATTGCCATAAATGTATCTGTGTATATTAATTATGCCCAAAGGGCAAGGCCAAAAGCAAAATAGAGTAGAATAAAAGAGGGACGTGGGGAGGAAGAAATAAGCTGAAACGGAAACTAAAACTTTGCATGACCTTTGATCAACACGTGTAGACACACACACACACACACACACATATACACAGAGGGTATGGAGAAGTGCAACGTTTAAGTCTGTGGCTATTTATAAAGCCGGCTAACGCAAACAACAACAACAGCAACAACTACAAAAAGAGGAGTTAAAACAAATAAACCCCGCGCTCTGCGTTCGACAACTTGTTAAACTTCAAACTGTCTGCAAACGCGACATTGTCTGATAAACGACAACAGCAGCAGCAGCAGCAACAAAAACAACAACAACAACAACAACAAACACGGCAAGAAGAAGAGCAATGTCCATGCTGAGTGGGCAACTGTCTGGCGATTGCATCTGCTCTGACTCTGACTCTGAGTCTAAGTCTGAGTCGGACTCTGTGACTGTGAGTCTGGCCAAGAGCTGATCTGTGGCCAGGATGCAGCAGCACGCCAACACTTTTTGTTTCAACGCGCACGATAGTGAAATGTGGCCCGGTTTGGCCCTTCGATCGATGCCGTTGTTGCATGAGGCAGCGGCAGCGGCAGCAGACAGCAGACAGCCTAAGTGGATTGCTGCATGTTAAACACTCAGAAAAAAATCAACCTAAATTTTAGAAATTCGTCATAGTTTTGACGCCCCTCATTATTAAAAAAGTGTTTTTCTATAACGGTACTTTGGCTCTATCTATAAGCCAGAAGTTTTCATTTCTTAATTCCATTGATTATTTTTCTAATATTTTGAAAAAAAAGTTTCGTTTCCCGTTTGATTTTTATATGTGTACACAGAACTGTAACATTATCTTATTTGTTAATTATGTTAAGATTTCACATAGAAAAAATAAGTGTTACCATTTCTACTTTTTCGAAATATTTTCTATTATTAAGAAAAATGTATTTGAAAAATAGAAAAAAAAACATATATAAAAAATTGTATTCCCATATTTAAAATATCTAAAATTAATAAAGAGCTTATAGTTTTCAGTGCAATTTATTTCTGAGTGTATGTATATCATGTTGGTAGAAGGCAGTTGGTCGAAGGGGGCCGGCACGTTTAAATGCACTTTATTTGTTTTGCCAGCGAGCCGTCAGCCAAGAGCCGTGAGCCGAGAGCCGAGAGCCCAGAGCCGCCCTCTCATCACCATAACGAGCTGTCAATTGCTAGAGCACGAATGTAAATCACTTACTAAAGATAGTACTGGCCACAGCCACACTACATATCACACGAGGGACTAAGACTGACTTAACTTGCAAAATCAATCGAACCGTTAGAGTTGCTTCGACAAAAAGAAAAGCCTGAAAAGCCGAACAAATTCAGTGTTATAGCTTGCAATTAACGCAATGTTTTACTCGGCAATCTGAACTTAACAATTGCTTATATTCAATAATTAAAATTTGGCTTAAGCAGCAGCAACAAATATGTGTTTCACAATATATAGCCGGCTAATTAAGTAATGAATATAAATATAAAGACTTGGGCAGCATTCTTAGAACAAACCGAATACGGCATCCCACAAATAACAATCCGGGCTGTTATCCTCGTCATCGTCCAGTTCCTCGAGTCGCTTCTTTAGCTTCATCAATTGCTGCTCATCGCTGAATATGGCTCTGAAAACGCGCTCCGTAAACCTATCATAGACACCCAGTCTTTTCAAAATGTTGACGACCCGTTGCTCGAAGGCTGTGTTGGATTCGGGAGCTATCCTATTCGCAGAGCTGCTGTTGCCAAATAAACTTGCGAGTTCGTTTCGCTGAAGCATCATGTCGTGTGCCAGATATGCGTTATAAGCCCTTATCTTCTCATCCAGCTGAGCAAAAGGGAGACCAGCTGCCATTGCCAGGCGTTTATATTGCTGCAGAGATTCCTTGTTGTCTGATTGATTTCTCAAATCCTTATATTTGCTCAACATGTTAGTGATCCTGTTTGTAAGTATTTCGTTTAGTCGCAGCAACGGCTGCTGTGCCACTTCGGAGTTCCCATGGATGCACTGCATCTGCACTAGGAGCAACAGCAGCAACGCCGACACTTCTAGCGTTCTGATCAGTATTGACATGACTGCAAACTTCTATCGATGACTGTTGCCAGCCTGTGTGCATCGAGTGCTTTTAAAGCGTTCACATTTCGCTGATAAGCCCAAGTTATTAGCTGACATTTAATGAGTTTCCTAGGTTCCAAGGTTCCCGGTTCTGACTTGACGCCCGCATATGGCTAAGTCAATATAGAACAAAAGGTTAACAATGCTTTGCAATAAGTTTATTTTATGTTTGCCAATTCCCCAAGCCAAATCAATAATAAACATAATTAATGTTGCATAGAATTTTGTAGTTACTTTGGAGCTGTGTTTCTATTAAAAATGATTAATTATTAGTACAAATGTGAGGTGCAAATATAACAGGCTCCACTTAACAAGTAAAAATGCTCCAGTTGAGAAAGCTCGACTAGGAGAAACGCCAGCAAAGGCAAATTGTAACTAATTAATGTATTTATTTGTTTTTCCCTTTCTTGGGAAATTAATGGAAATTATTGCATCACCAAGTTGATTATCTGAAACCCAAAACGAAATAGTTTTGTGTGAAATTAGTCAAGTGTTTCATGTTTAAGTTTATTTAATCATTAGATTTATATATGACAACTAAAATAATATTATAGATATTTAAGTTAAGGATTGTAGTCATAGAAATCTTATATTCTTTATTTTTTATTTGCCCTTGGCATGGGCGTTGTTTAAAATAATTTAAAATGATCAATAAAATATATATCGAACAGCTTTTTTATTAATATGTCCCCGAGTTTCTCCTTCTCCTATCATATCTATTCATAACTAGTAGTTTCAGCCCAAGCTTTAAATTGTATATTTCACCATATAGGGTCAATCATTCCATGGATCTTTTCTCGAAAAGCCATCAAATAAATATATGGTCATTGGGCTATCCAATCTATTTATGGGAAAGTTTTCCCGTCACCATGGCATATTGATAATTTTTGATGATTTCGGATTTGCCTACAAATTAGAAAGCAAATGTAAATTATCAACAAAAATTGATTTTTTGCGCACTTAGCAAAGCCAACAATGACTTTTAAGACTATCGTCAATATATTATTCGAAGAAGTACTTAAGTAAAACTACATTATGTATCCATACATTTTAATTTATTGATGACAAAAAATGATTAAAATAAATCAGTGTATTAAATTGAAAGCCAAAGACAGCGGCCAGTAAATTTATTATTTTGCCTAAGGTATTATTTCTTAAATGGAAACCAATTGGTACAAAATAAACAGAAATCCTCATCTTCCTCAGTTTCCTCGCTGTCTTCGGTCTGCTTGTGGGGACACTTCTCACTATGCAATCTCAGTTTATGCGACTTGAGGAAATTGGGTTCATTCAGAGCGCGCCTTAGTTCCCATTTCTGGTTCTGATAGAACGCTCTGCATTTGTCGCCAATTTTCTCAGCCTGCAAATAGCTTTCGGTGACGGCGATTCGGCTTTGTAAATCAGCTTCCAATTTTAGTCGCAACGAATTGTAACTCAAAAACTTATAATATTCTCGTATTTTTACGTGCAGGAAATCCGAGTCCAGACTAGCTGCATGTCGTAGAATAGCTGATTGATGATCAAACTCCGTATTGCCAATAAAATGACCTGTTCTGGATGTATATAAGATATGCTCGATTTGCACATTTAACTTTTCGCTCTCAATATTATTCTGCAAAAATGATACAATTGACAATATTTTTGGAAGTGCAACTTTAAAGCTTTACCTTATTTGGTGTTGTTAGTGTTGAAAACCCTGTTATCGATGTTGTTGCCGATATTGTTGTCGATGTTGGTGATGTCCATGTTTCAGTCGATTTTGATGGCGTATTTGTTGTCGATGACGATGTGTCTGGCGATGATTCTGTCGATGTTGTCGATGACGGTGTGTATGTAGTAGTACTGGATTTTGTCGATATTGTCGATGTGTCTGGCGATAATTCTGTCGTTGTTGTCGATAACGATGTGTATGGCGATGATTCTGTCGATATTGTCGATGATGATGTATCTGGCATGAATTCTGATGTGGTGGATGACGATGTGTCTAGCGATAATTCTGTCGTTGTTGTCGATGACGGTGTGTATGGCGATGATTCTGTCGATATTGTCGATGATGATGTATCTGGCATGAATTCTGATGTGGTGGATGACGATGTGTCTAGCGATAATTCTGTCGTTGTTGTCGATGACGGTGTGTATGGCGATGATTCTGCCGATGGCGATGTACCTACCGGTGGCTCTGTCGTTAATGATTTGTGTCCCGATTTTAATGACGACAGTTCTCTCGATTTTGATAGCAAAAGGTGGAACGTTTCCCCTTTTGTTCCAATTGTCACTGTATTATATAGAAAAGAATTATTCTATATTATTATAATATGCAAAAATGTATTGAATTATCTTTAAGCTTTGGACTGAAATAAAATGTAATATTACTTACAAATTGTGCTGAGCAACAGACAGTGAGTTACAAAGTGCAATCTCATATTGCTTTGTTTCAGTATTAGAACTGTGTTCTAAATCTGGCTCGGCTTACGCTTTTATACAACGCGCTTAAAGAGCTTAAGCAAGTGACTTTGTGCATGATAAAATCTAATTGAAAGTGTCAAAACGTTCTGAAACATAATTTATGAGCTTTGTCATAAATTTCCATATCTAGTTTATGGCGTGTTTCTCCATTCTTGGTAACATCGCATATCGATAACGCATTAAGCTTGGAAAATTCTTACAGGAAACTGTGTTTTTTGTTTTATCAAAATAGGTTTCAAATATATTAAATACTTTTTTAAAATATATGTTAATTTTTATTGAGTTGCTTTCAAAAATGAATTCATTTTTAACGGTTTCACGAATGCCGTCCACAATGTGTGGAACCTAACAGACGCAAAAACAGCTGCATTTAGTTGAGCACACGTGAGCACAGGTGAGAGATTAGAGTATAAAGAGTGTGTGAGAAAGAGAGAGAGAGAGAGCCCGCTCGATCCACAACAATGACGATTACTATGACGAAGACGACGTCAACGACGACGCTTACGACGACGACGATGTTGTCGGGTCGTCTTGCTTGCTGTGTGTGTTAGCGTCCGGTCTCTGTGAGTCTTGCAGTTGGTTTTCCAAGTCGCCGAGGGTTAAGTTCAGTTCTTGAACGACTGCTGGCCGTGTTGGTGGCAAGACGCGGAACGCTGCTTAAAAGTCGTGAACGAAGTCGAAGTCGGAGGCGGCAGACGACGCGGTTGCTATTGGAAGACGTTACTTTGTTCGGTTTAAATGGACATTTGTGAAATGCTAAACAAAAACCGAATCGCAAAAGCAAATCACACAATAATAATCATCAACAATAAAGTGAAATTTTTGAATGCGATTTGAAAATTAATTGGAAAGAGGGCATACATAATACATAAATGATTGCAAATTAGTCTTGTAAAGAAATCGCTGACAAAAACAAGTTTAAGTTTAAAGGTGCAACAGCAACAACCAACAACAAATAAGCGACTACTAATAATGCAATTCAAATCAATATAAAGTGACAACTAATTTGTGTGAAAATAAATAAAAGCAATAATTATACAAAAATAAATACCAAGCAAGGCGTTTAACAAGGCGCAAAATCTTTTAAAGGTGCGTAAATAAGAAATAAGACAATTATTTAAAATAAGTGAAAAAACAAAACAAAACAAAACTGAACAGCTGAGAAAATATCAATAAATTAAAAATAAGAAAATAAAGCTTATCAGCTGCCAAAACAAAAACATAAAAACTGTTAAATATTGAAATAGTTAAAAGCAGTGCTTGTTTTTGATTTTATTGTTGTTGTTTTTGTTGTTGTTGTTGTTGTTGTTATTGTTGTGGTGTAACGAAAAGTTTGGTGCAAAAAATAAATACGACAATATCTCCTCTATATGCCTATATACAGCAACAAAAACAACAACAACAGCAACGAGAAAACTGTTAAAACCAGTTTACAGCGGCGCATGCGCCAAGCAGAACTCAGGAGAACTGGCAAAGGCAACAGTAGAAAAGTTGGTAGGGCTGCCGAAGCGAATCTTTGAGCAAACTGTGAAGAAGCCGGCCCAACACTGAGAGAGTGAGAGAGGGAGAGAGAGAGATATAGAGAGAGAGACACACACAACATCCGAAAAGGAGGCGCAACAGAAGCTGCTCGCTCGAACTCGCAGCTGGAGAGAGAGAGAGTCGATAAAGCAGATCTCGAAAAAAATAAGCGCAAAAGAACCAAAATTAACCAAAAAAAATTGAGAAAAAGAACCCAAATAAAATTAAGCAGCAAACGAAGTTTTTTGTTGAGACTAGGAAACTGAAAACTGAAGGGAGCCGGCAATGGCAACAGCATTGCACTTGTGCAAACAGACGCATCAGTCAAAAAACACAAACACACACAAAAATATCTATTTCAAGGCGAACACCTTCGGAAACAACCCAACCAACCCAACCCCCCTTTGTCTATCTATTTGCACAGCAGTCACTTCAATTTCACAAATCATATTATTGTTATTGTTGTTGATGTTATCTGAGCTGGCACAGCTTTAGATACGAGCGTGCGAGCGGCAGCGCCAGATAAGCGAGATAAGCTCAAAGAAAGGCCCAAAAAAAGAAGAGATGATAAATACAAAAAACACGACAAAAAGCCGACCGACCAACACCTGCCGCATGCAGCCAAAAAGCCGAACCCCAAGGGAATGACGAATGGAAGGTTCACATACATATGTATACGCATGTGTGTGTGTGTGTGTGTATTGGTGAATCCCTGGCGAGTTCTTGGCTCTGCTGGACCTTTTTCCTTGTGCGGCCTCTTTTGGGATTTGTTCATTCATGCATTTCGTGTCCGTTTCATTTGTGGTGCTCTTCTTTGTCTTGCATGCAAATTTTTTGCGTTTCATTTTCTTTCGGACGAGACCCAACATAACTACATACATACATACATAAATACACATGTTGTATGCACATACATGCATACATACATAAATAAGTGTAGGTAGAATTACGTTGAGTGTGCATGACAGAAATACATAAACCAAAAACCAAAAAATAAATAAATAAATAAAAATGTAAGAGAAAAAAATCAGACATACAAATAAAACACAAACCGCACAAAGCTCTTCGAACAATTCCTGAAAATGTCTGCCGTGTTGCCGTGTTGCCCAGGGTCAGGCCAAGTCACAAGCCAAGCGAGCAACTTTCATTAAAGCCAAACCCACAAAAGCATACTGAACCATTATTATATGTATGCTTATGCACTTACCAGCTTGTATATCTATATCTATATATATATATACATATATTTGTTACTCTGGCCGATCTATGGCACAGCGTTCAATCAAAGCCAATGTGAGCGAGCGTGTCAAAGATCAGAGTGGCAACAAACAATTTATGATTATAATGAAGCCCATATCCCAGCCACAACTTGGCCATTATGCAATTCAAAGAGTTTTTTATGCTCTGAAACGATTAGCAGTTTGTTCTAACTTAGCCGCTCCCTAACAAATAATTCGAGTTGGATAAATTAATGTCATTCATTTAGATTCATAGAACATAGTCTCAACTTTCAGTTTTCAATTCTCAAATCGTTTGAGACGGACTTCTGGCATATAATATATATGATATTGCTTTAACGGATTCTGTAAATTTCATACAGCTCGAAATTTAGTTGCTGTTTAGAAACTACTAAATGTATATTACAGAAAACTAGTTGTTGAAATAATAGATTTTTTTGTTTAACATTTTCATATATTTTGCCTTACATTTCGTTTCTGAATACAGTTTTCCACGGATTTAAAGTCTGAAATGTAGTGTATACTCGTATTTTCTTTTGTAGAAGAAAAAATAATACATTTTAAATACTAAGAACGAAACTTTTACGTTTGAATTTTACATTTGTTTGAGTAAGAAATAGTTATGGAGTTAAATCATCTCATATTTCTTAAGCCTCACATTTCATTTATTTTTTAAGAACATTGTGACTTTAGTTAATGTTACTGTTGTATTTGATTTTTTTTTTTTAACTTCTGTTGATTTTAATTTTTGTCTATTGCTTTTTGTTTAGTGGCCTTGACAGCGCCCGCATAAGCGTTAACCCGTAATTAACTGTCATTGGTTTGCAGTTTGTTTCTTGGCTTTTGGCTCATCGCCTAATTAATCATTTGTTCAAAATGCCAATTTGTTTTTTTTAGTAAATTTTTGCTTTTTTTTGGCATTTTTTGTTTTCTTACAAATAAGCAACTTTTGTGCAATTGTATAATAAAATTGTGGTCGTGTGTCTTTTGATACTCCTATCACAAAATTGCTGGCGCTTTGTGTTTTTTTTTTTTGGCTTATCCACGACGAGGTTAAACTTTGACCTAGTTATTCAATTTGAATTGTTGCGTCGCCGTGTGCCGCCAATTCATCATGTTGCAAAAGCCATTAAAGATTGTGCAAACATTTGCATAGCATGTCAAATTGGCAACACCAGCAATTAAATTGAGTCTACATATCGGAGTCGCCTCCCTTCTGTGTGAAAACTAAAAGTTGCCGGCGTATTCTATTGGAAAGAACTTGACCAGGTAAGAACTTGGCTATAAATAGCCAAGTTGGGCTTACACTTGGCATATAACAACAACAAACCGAAAATAAAGTTATTAATATATTAGTTATTTAAACAATGTGCAGAGCACAAAAGCCAAAACGAAATTAATAATAGCTATGAAGAGTTCTCAAGAGACACTCAAAGCTGTCAACGATCAGATTGTGTGTGGTGTGCGAAGCGGTGTGTGACGTGGGTGTGTGTGAAACTAGGTATGGCAGCTCGAATATCGATAACTATCGCATTGCAATCGATTAGGTAACTAAATTCGTACATCCTTTATTTATTTTTTTCATTTTATATCTTTATTTAATTACTCTCTCTTAATTGTAATTGTACCAACATAACATAAAATAAATGAATTCATTAAAATATTAGTTTCAGTTGAGATTTCTAGAATGATTATTTCTTAGCGGATTTATTATTCTATAGTAAATAACATTCTAATAATTTATTTGACTTTCTAATTGGCTTTTATAATGACCAAACAATAGCTGTTGTCAGATAAAATGTGTATAGGAAACTTTAAAATTCGATTTATTATACTTTGGACTTTAATTTATATGCACGTTCGACACATGTCTAAACAGAAATAGTTATTGTGCTTTTTACGCTGAAAATCAACCCAGTTGGTGGTGTCCAAGTTCTCTATTCATTCATAAATTTAGCTCTACTTTAGATATACGATATCATTAATCATTTGTTGAGTTCACACACTATATAGATCATCGCTGTGATGCCCCGAAATCCGTGGCTCGAATCGAATGGCACTTGTCAGGCAGTTTTCTTGAGGGCGTCGTTGGATCATTATGCCAAATTGGGCTAACCTCATATGGATGTTATTATACTTTATGCATGCACTCGTATTTCGGAGCACGTATTATTGTCGACCATTTGCGGAAGCAGCAATCAACAATATATAATAGTATATA